GGAAAGAGGGTTTCTGTGTGGTTTTGGTTTGCCTTTTGGTTCTACATGATCCTGAAACAAATTAAATTAGTACGGATTAATAAACACCATCTCTCTTGTTAAGGTTACCAACCATTAGTTTATCATAAGGATCAGTTTAAATTACTACTCAGTTATATTTTTAAATAGCAGACAGATAACATCACATATATCCTGCCCCTAATGATCAGCTGAACAATGTAAATCTAAATTCTAGTCTCAGAGGTTGTAAACTCCTAAAGGAAATGAAAGAAGATGGGTCTGCACAAGCAGAAGTGCTGAAATAGTTGCAGGTTTGAGTATAAACAATATGCTTTATTTTCAGTTATTGATAGGACTGGTATTTTTGACACAATCTTGAACTTGTAAGCCATTTATGTTGATAGTTTAACATAATTTCACTGCATCAAGAGAAATGAAAACAAGTCCCTCAGTAGGGGGATATTAATGTCCAGTCTCCAAAGGGATAGACAGGGCTGTAGCTCCAAAGGGCTACTGAGATGCTCTTGGGCTGAAAAGCACAACATATGAGGAGAAGATTAGGGTATTCTGTTGAGACTCAAGAAGACAGTGCTAAACATTTTTCAGTTTTTTCAACTGTATCACTTAAATGTTTATTTCTCAGAAAGACAATATTTTGTGCTGCTCCTCCAAGGATCAGAAAATAAAATTCAGACTGTAAGCATGGAAGCGTGGAATAGTGGAAGCTATTGTTTTATTGCAAGAATACAAAATAACTAGCAGTCTAGCTTTAGTCTCAAGCAAGCAAGAGGTTGCACAGACAAGGCACTGCAAATGACAGTAAGGTCACCATTTTATAGTAAAAGAAACACCTGACTTCAGAGTTATCTTGCCCTTCTAGAATATTCCAAACTTTTCTCAACCCTTCCAAACTTTTAGGGGGTCCTTAACTTAGAGGGTCTCAAACTTATCCACCCAGAGATCCCACTGACCCATCTCAGGTCACTCTTTGCTGCAACCAACCACCCTGGATCTCCTCTGAACTGCTTTTTTGATGTCACAATGGTAGACCTTGCTCTCACTCAACAGCCTTTTCACTTCCACCTCTAAACACAGAGGATGAATTTTCCTGCAACCAAGGGGAAGGACACGTTTTTTTCATTGAGATTTCTCTTTGTCACAGTTTTGTCCTGAAATGACAAACTTAAACTTTGTGCCCCTGAGAAGCACTGATCTGGTTCTAGTCTCTTACGAATACTCTAGGTCATGGGCAACAGTGAAAAAAACAAATTGTCATCAGGTTCACATCTTGCCAGGCACACAAAGATGTTTAGATTGCTGCATTCATACTGCTTGCTTAGATATTCACAAAGCTGTATATTCCAGGGACACTTGTGACCCTCCTTTCACAAAACGTCCTATGAAGCTCAAGTTTGTTTGTATGCAAACTGGAAGGTGTGAAGACCATCAGAGACAATCTTTGATTTGTACTGGAACAAATGTCTGTGAACCAGTAAGTTATAGTTAGCTGTGAAAAATAAAATTCTTGAGAAACATTATACTTAAACTTAATTCCTTCTCTAAAACTCTATTAGGTAACTTCAGTCAGTGGAAAAATATGGTAAAGTACAAAGCTGTAGCATCCTCTCATGTCTGAAGTATCAGATAAGCATATATATGTGCATATAATGTATGTTAAAGATACACAAAACTGTAGCAGTGAAATTTTTGTTTGAGATATTGAAAGATTTTTTTTGTCTGACTCCTATACAATTTATAATTGTGACATATATGATGGAAAAGCATACTACAAACTAACACAGAAACAAAAGTTTCAAGCAGTTTGGACAGTAGCAATTAATAATACTTACTTGGGCAGCTAGCTGTTTTCAAACTGATGCTATTGCATTTTTAAAATGTACCTTTTGCCCTTACCAGCGGTGTTCCTTTAATGCAAAAAACCTTGCAAACTGTGTAGAAAGTATTACAACAAATCCCAAATTCTTTCCCTTGTTTTCCTTTTAGAAGGTCTGAGTTTTCATATCATAATTTTACAGAAGGCTAATCACTTTGTACCACAACTTGCCACAGCAGGAGTTTGCCAGTTTTGACAAGGTTGTGCATGGGATTCAGTTAGGTGAATGCCAGTAGTTTGTGAAATTTAAATTTGCAAACTAGCATTGAGGCTACTCTACTGCAAGGCCCTTTCAAAATCTGGGAGATTTTCCAGGGAAGGTGGCCTGTTGGATGAATCCAAGTTGGGAAGAAGCCAAGCTTTTAGGAGGATGAAGAGAATGGAAAGCTAGGGAAACATTAAAGGGTCATGAAGGCAGGGTAGATAAGGGTGATTGGAGGGTCACAAGAAGGGAGCATCAGAAAGTTCAGCTACATTTCATGGAACTTCTGAACTCTGCAAGGTCGTATTTATGTCCTATTTATTGATTTATGTGAGAATAATATTTTCTGCTACCTGAGAGGATTCCTAAAGCAACAGTGGTCATAGAACATGAAGAATGTCAGATGACTAAATCTGTTACCATTAAGAATGAATCAGACAATAAAAGATGTTATAAACAACCTATTAACAATATAACCTACTGTTGGATTTCCAAGCTTGTTATTGTAAATACTTTATAAGAGAATTATGCTTCCTTGTGGGGATTACACCATTTGATCTACATTTATTCCTGCCAAGCTGATCGTTCTTATTTGGAAACTTTCTATAAATTCAGTGTGAACTGAAAAGACATATGAGCAGCTCAATTCTTCTTTTCTCAAGCTCAGCGGTAAAGGTGTGGAAGTAAATCAGGGTTGGGATTTAATATTTCTTTTCAAAACATAAAAAATTCTTACTTTTTCTTTAAAGATGTTTCAACATGTCATTTAATAAAGTTGAAAGGTACAGTTGACCATTGCATGTAGCTGTGGGAAAACAATCCTGTCCTCTGCAGTTCCACTGAGTACAATACTTAAAAAACAATCTCATGAACTGCAGTGACAGGGCACTTGCAACTAATGGATGAGTTCAATTTAATTAAAAGCAAGGGAAATACTATGGTTAGCTCAGCATCAGGCTGAGAGCTTCACTTTATCCAAAATGGAACAGAATGACAAGAGTGAAAATAGCTCAGTACATCTCTTATCTTCTTGTCCTGAAGAGGCAACAGGAACCCTTGCAACACTACTCTTAATCTCAATGCAATAGCATTATTATCCATGCTTCACTAATGCTGCTTTCCCTTAGCTGCCATGTGTGATTCAATCTATACAGACAAGTTGAAACCTCTTCCCCAAAATGGCCTTCTTTGTGTCTTGTTAGTGCTGGAACTTGGAAGCAAAGTTGACACATACGTTTCCTATTTCCTGTATGCAGCCTGTTTCTGAAGAGTGACCCTCTGTTTTTCATCTGTCTTGATTCTCATGTAAACAATTCCTCAAAACCCATTATAAGGTCATTTTATAAGCCTGGATTCCTTGACTGAATTCAGCAAAACATACTTGCGCTAGCTGGGGGATTAAATTGACTGTTTCCAATGTACCCTCAACACTACTGCTTTTGACTTAGCTAGAATTCCACGTGGAGATCTAGCTGAAAAAAAACCAGATTTTACCTTCTGGAAGAACACATTGCATGAAGCCTCCTGCTGCCTAGACACAACCACACTTATTCAATGGACAAAATAAAGGAATCCTTGTAACAATCTGGGGAATCTGTTTATGTACATTTTATGCATGCGGACTGATATCACAGCCTCTCCATCTGCAGCTGTATCAGACTGTAAACTCCATTTAAACAATACGGCTTGTTTACTGTCACTGTTCCCCTGTGCAAGCTCAGAAAGGGACAAGATAAATCCTTGTATTAGATAAAAGCAGAGCTAGAACAAAGGTCACAAAGCTTTCAAGCTTATACATCTCAGAGAAATACCCCTTGGACATGTTTGACTCCCTCTAAAAGCAGAGACAAATTTAAAGTCTGGATTTAGGAGGGAGAACCATAAACAAGCAAAATAAATAGTGGGAACAACTGATTCATTTACTATTTTTAAAACAGTTCTTGATAAAGATACGGGAAGGATTTATATGAAGTACTTGCTTGAGGTGGCAGTGGCTTACATCCAGGAGGCTCTTTGGAGATGTCGCATATAATTGGAGAATAAAATCAGGATTCACATAACAGAGTTATGAGAATGTCTGTGTGGGTTGCTCTGCCTAAAGAAGTGTGGGACAGGCCACAGAGACACATTAAATGAAAGGAAAAACATATGGCTCCAAATGGTGACATCCATATACAACAACCTGGTGTAAGCCTGGCTACAGATGAGGTTGTCAGTGTCAAAAAACAATAAACTGATTTTAGCTTACAAAAAGATACTGATTTATACAGTATTTCAGCGTTCCTGGATGTGTAAGTTGCTATTGATGTGAGTCCCCACTTCACTCTAAGAAGTTTCCTTTTGTTTGCCTTCAGTACTACACTATACTCATTCTGCCTGTTCACTACTCAAGTGCTTGAAATCATAATCTTTCTGTTTGTGACATCACAGTTGTTATGCTGGTCATTTAATAAAGATGATTTTTGTAAATTGGACTGAATTCACAAATATTCTAAAGGAAAGTTATTTCAGTTGTAATACATAACTTTACTGTTACATGAATTACAAATGTCTCGAATAACTTTAGATGAAAAACAACAAGCAACAACTTCTTGCATTACAATAGTACCCGCAGATCCTGGCTTCTCAGTCTGGGCTGGACTGTGTAAAAAGACAAAGGAGAACAAATCAGTCTAAAAGGACAAATAATATAGAAAGAGAGAGGTTAAGTGATCAG